CTGAGGGTAGAAGAATAATGATTGCCTAATTCTATCATTCCTTCTACATTTATTAGCTGGCATTCTTCAAGGCAGGAGAGCTCTCTGTTGGGAGGATGGTGGCGGGTAGAATTGGGAGAGGGCATTCCAGGTGAGGCAAAGGTACATTCCAGAGGAGGGCAAGCCTGGGCATGAGGAGAGTAAAGGCAGAGCCAGAACAGTATTCAGTCCAGACTGCAAAGGGTAGCAGCAGGAAATAGGCCTAGGTGGGAAGCAGCATTGACTGAGGAAGGTGAGAGATGGGACGCCACTCCCATCAGCAGTCTAGGAAGAAGTCTTCTTGAGCCCAGCTCCACACTCAGTCTCCTGTAGCCATACCCCCATCCCATAGGTGCTCTGATTGCCTGTTCAGTAATGTCTTTAAGCCTTTGCTATTCAGCAAGCATAGGCATCACCCAGAACCTCCTTCAAAATGCAAAAACCTAAGGACCCATCTCAGACCTACTAAATCAGAATCAGCATTTGAACAAGACCCCCACAGGAAGAACTGCTGCTGTAAGCCACTCTAATTCCCACTTTCACTACCCATACCAAGACAAAGGCTACACTTCCTTCAGTGAACTTCATCTTTCGCCTAGGAATTTTCTATGACCTGCATCTATCTACTTCCTCAGAGTCACAGAATTTTCTGCCTCAGGTTAATCCTGCCCTTTTTTAGAAAGGCATGCCATCTAAGTCAACACACCTGAGTTTTAATCCTTTCGCACTATTTGTTATCTGTGGGACCTTCTGTAATCACTGCCATTTCTCTAAGTCTTGGTTAGTCACTAACTCTTGGGATAAAGACCAAATAAAATAATACACACGAAGTATTTAGCCCCAGAGGATTAAGAGTTTAATAATGTTAACTTGAAAATAAGAGAGGCACCCTGACTGGTGTGGCTCAGTGGGTCGGATGTTGTCCCAGAAACTGAAATGTCATTGGTTCAATTCCAAGTCAGGGCACATGCCTGGGTTGCTGGCCGGGTCCCCAGCTGGGGCCAAGCAAGAGGCAACCGTTCAATGTTTCTCTTGCACATTGTTGTTTCTTTCCCTCTCTTTCTCTCTCCTTTCCCCACTCTCTAAAAATTAATAAATAAAATCTTTTTTAAAAGAGAGAGAAAAGAGGCATTCCTGGCAAAGATCTCCGTGGTCTACCTGATAAGATAGCACAAGGCCAGCAAGAAAGGGGATATGGAATCCCCCGGCATATTCCAAACATTAGTTGCCTTTGGCCATTTTCAGTCCAAGAGGTCATATTTATCAAAACCACATTTGGGAGCTGTTTACCTCTGCACAGCATTGCTCTGTGAAAGGAAATAGCCTTTCAAGGTGCTGAGGCAAATTAAGCACATCATTAGGCTCAAGAGAGTAGCCAAAATAGGTATCATTTTCAAGCATTCTCTAACACTTTATATCTAACATCGTATTATGTCTGCAACAACACAGTGGACAGTAGGATTATTAGCTCTGTAATCACAATGATTAAAGGAAGTGAGAAAATGGAGTCCTAGGCAGGGCAGATGACTGGGATTGGGTCATTTCATCTGGATGAGCAGGTTAAATTTAGCAGTTCCTCCCTCCATGCACAGAAACATTGTTGGGGATATCCATCAGACATCCAGAATCTGAACCAAAAGAAGTTCACTGAAGGAAGTGCAGCTGCTTGGTAACCATGGAGTTGAAGTTTCCTAAGCTACTCGGTGGGGCTGAAAGTGACAACTTAGGAGGGTCCATTGTCTGTGTCTGTCTCTAGCCTGTGCACTTTTCACCTCAGAGTCAAGTCACTGAGCAAGATGGTTCATTTTCCAAGCCAGGACCCAGATTCCCAGGCAGGATGTGGGAGAGAATTCTAGGATTGGGAGGGGGACGTGCCATGGAGGAACTCATGGACAGCACTTAGAATAGTGCCTAGGGCACACACAGTCCTCAGCCAATTTTGGAAGTCATCATTCCTTTATACCCTGCTTTCCTATCTCCAAATGGGAGGGAAAAGGAGGGAAGACTGAGCTTTCCTGCCCTTGGCTTCTAAAGGTAGCCACTACTCCTGGGGAAGTGGAAAGAGCACCAGAGAACTTCAGCTCACATCTGCCACTGACTCATGAGTGTCTCAGTTTCCTCTTCTATAAAATTAGCTTTATGGACTGAAAGATGTCCAGGTTCTCCTCTGGCTCTGACTCTCTGATCTTGTCTACCATGGGCCTCCAAGAGACCTAGGAGGCTTCATCCCAAGAGCTCTTTACAACAGGAGTTATCACACTCCTGGCTTGGCTGCCCTGGGTCTGGGGTGAAGGTTTATGCCACAGGACTCTCCTGTACAAAGGTACCTTGTTTTTGACATCTCCTGTCTGAAGTTAGGAAACCAAGAAGCCCCCAAATGATAGACAGAGGCTTCCTCTGACCCCCATATAAATGAGGTCCTCCTCCCAGGTATTATCTTTTACAAGCTTGCTACCCATGTGTGTTCTGTGGACCAGCGGCATCATCATTACCTGAGAGCTTATCAGAAATACAGACTCCCGGGCTCCACCCAAACCTGCAGTCAGAATTTGCATTTTAACTCCAAGTACCTGAGGAGTGTAGCAGTCTCCCTCCGCACCTTATCTGTGGTTTCTTTTATCCGAGCTCAACAGTGATCCAAAAATATTAAGTGGAAAGTTCCAGAAATAGACAACTCTGAGTGGCGCAATAAAATCTCACCACATCCCCCTCCATCCCCCTCTGACCTGCCCAGGATATGAATCATGCCTTTGTCCAGCATCTCCATGCTGTAAAAGCTCCCCGCCTGTTAGTCATTCGGTGGCCATAGCGGTGCTCAGGGCTACTGTCCCGGTATCTTATCGCAGTGCTTGTGTTGGAGTCACTTTTATTTTACTTAATAACAGCTCCAAAGCCATCGCTACTGTGATGCTGGCAATTTGGATATTGTTTAAGGGGAAAGATCAGTATGTGTAGGAAAAACATAGTATATAGAGTTCAGTTTTATACGCAATTTCAGGCATCCACTGGGGGTCTTGGAAGGCATCCTCCTTGGATAAAAGGGAATGACTGTACAACCTTGAAATAGTTGAACTTTTTGCCTTCATAGCTCTTACAGCAACTTAAAATTCTAATTATATATTTATTTGTATATTTTAAATAACTGCTTTAATGACTGAACCATAAAGTCCACAGGATATTTTCCAATGACTAACTTGGTGCCTGGCACATACCAAGGGCTCATTCCATATGTGCTCAATGGATGATTCTCTGGTATTTCCCAACTGCCAGCAGCCCCTGGGACGGCTCCACAGGTTTGCTGTTCTGGCATTCTCTCACTGTACCTCCATATTCTCCTGGGCAGCCAACAAATTCAATGATCTTAGTACCACACCCAGACACAGATGATTTTCTTTGTCCATTCGAACATCATGCTAATCAATGGTGATGCTCTGCAGTAAATTAGGTGCCAATTAAATTTCCATGGAGGGGAATTTCGTGATGTCAGGTTTTCCTATGACCTGCAAGCACAACTGAGAGACCACAAGTGCACAGTATTGTTGGTTAGGTTAAGAGCTAAAGCAATAAAATCATAGAATATGAGAGCAAAAAGGGAAGAACCTGTGAAGCCAAGCTCACTTTCTTTTCCCTGAAAAGCTGAAGCCCAAGAGTTTATACTGACTTCTGCCATGTCCAGATCAGTGCTGAGCTAGGGTGTTGCCTCCAGAACACTCCCCAGACTCACACCAACCATTTTGGCTTGGAAAAGAGACCCAGTTACCAGGAAAAGAGCCCTTAGTGGAAGGCAGAGCCCCTAGGAAGGTGGTAGAATAAAAGGAGAACTCAGATGTGGTCTGAGGTGTTTATTCTGAATACTAAGAAAATAAGATACAGGCAGCTGCTAACTTCTTGCTTTGATAGAGGTGGGGAAATTGTTCTCATCTATGTAAGAGCTCCAACCTTTCTAGGTCTTTATTAATATTTCAATCCAATGGCCCACAGGAGATCTCAACCTGGCCAGGTTAAGAGATGGCTAAGACACTTTAATCCTTCTTGGCAGGACACCTGAGGGGTATCTCCATGGCTGAGGTGAAGAGAAGGGGAAGGGGAGCTACTTGTGGGGAAGTTAGTCTCTAAAAAATTTATTAGGGGTGAAGAACTGTACCCATCTGCTTCTGTTGCCTACTTGCTCAACAAGATATCCCTTTCATCCCCTGCAATGCCCCAACCCAGGTGGTACCCCCCACAGAACACAATCTGTTTCTATCCATCTCATGGTTATCTGTGTAAATATTGATGTATGAATTTATGTTTACTGTACAGTAAATAATATAAAATACACAGTGACTATACATATATAATATTTTTGCATTTATTTATATGTGTATAAATATTTGGATATTATATTCAATTTTGAACTTGTGATAAATCCAGAGGACAGGGATGCAATTTAATCATGTTATCCTCATGATGCTTGGCATATAACAATTAATTCAGAATTTCCAACCACAGGAGAGATATAAATGTACCTCTCCAGGTATGTTTACAACCTACTTTTACTGTTTGATGAATCGAAGATGGAAAAAGAAACCCACGTATATTTATATACTATATTTGATTGCTCTTAGGTGGACCAAAGAGGAAAAAAATAACACATGTGGAGATTAAAAAAATAAAAGCACTGGACTGGGAGTTGGTTGCAGATCCTGGCCCCTGAGCTGCCATGAACTTTTCATTTTACCTCTCAGCCCTGCCCCCCATTCCTTGCCTGTGAAATAAGGATAGTAATGGAATTGCTTTTCTGATAGGCACATTGTGAAGTAAATGCATGAGCAAGTACATTATAACTAAGTCAGTGAATTTATTTTTTAAAATGTAAGAGTCAAATGGAATGTGAATTCTAAACAGCACAGTACACTGAGAACAATCAGAATGTGGGGGTGGGGAAAGTGTATTCTTTCGATTGAATATCATCCTCACACTGTGTATTTCTTTTCTCCTAGGACTACATTCCCAACTCACCAGGAAAATTCCCCCTTAAAGGAGGTAAGACCTTGAGATTAAGAGTAAATGTGTAGTGAGTCATCCACATCACGCCACAGATGATCAACAACCAGAAACATCATGGCAGTGCCCAACAGAAAAGTGGGTGGAAGGGAAGGTAGAGGCTGCTCGGGCAGAGCTGATAGAGTCAGCTCATCATGGCAGGCTCTGATCTGCACTCTCATCACCACAAGGCTTCCACCATCCTTCGACTCTCCCACTAACGAAAACTCTACCTCTGGTATAGGCTGTCACATGGACATGGGCAGGAACACAAAGCAGCATTGTGTTAAAAGCTTGCCATCTGGCGCCAGGCAAGTATGGGTATGAATCTTGGCTCTACACTCTACGCCCTACCTGGGAGCTTCTGTTCCTTATCTATGAAACAGGAATAACAATAGTACCTTATGAAAGTATTCAAGAAGCCAATTAGATTTCATTCATAAATTGTTTAGCATGGCCACCAATACACAGGAATTATCAAATAACTGGTAGTCACCAAAATGCATATTGCAGTTGAAGAATTGTGAAAACAGACCTTCTCCACACCTCCCACATATTTTATCACTGAGGTCACTAAATAATGCATTTTGTCTACCAGCCCCAAAGGACTGATATGCAGAGTTAGGTTAGCACTGAAAGTGAAAAACTCTGAGATCATCTGATTAATGTTTTCATTGCACAGAGGAGAAGTAAGACCCAGTAAAGTGTTGTGTCCAAGGTAATATAGAGCTAAACCTAGAATCCAGATGTCCTTATCTTTTATCCAATATTCTTTTTACTCAAGAGCATTAACCCATCTCAGTTCTGCAATCTTTAGAACCTCAATAACAAACACAGCTGGATGACCAGAGAGCTCAGAGAAAAAATGTAAAAGGGAAAGGGTGGGTCATCACAGGCGCTCAGGTAGAGACACCAGAGGGTCCTTGGGACTGGAGGAGGGCACCAGTGTCTACACACAGCCTCCCACACCAACATCATCAAACTTGGAGTTCCCTTAAGCATGTCTCTCCTGCTATCTGTCACCCAGAGGCTTGGAAAGTAGGGGCAAAGACCCCAAAACAGACAAGCACTCTGGATCTTTTGGGAAAGCTGAATAATTATAGCTTTGTCAACAGTATCTTAACTGTGGCTTTAATTACTTAGCATGTGACCTCAATTCTCATAATGCCTCTGTAGACAGTCACACCAAAGTAAAAAGAATCATGGTATAATGAAAAGGTAAGCAAAAAAATTTTCCATAAAGGGCCACAGAGTAAATATTTTAAGCTTTGCAGGTCATAAGGTCTTTCTTGCAACTAGTCAGCTCTTCTGTTGTAGTGCACAAGTAGCCATGAACTTTGCAAATGAGCAGTCAGGGTTACGGGTCCATAAAGCTTTATTTACAGAATGAGGTGGTAGGCTGGCTTTGACCTACGCACCAGAGTTTGCCAACCCCTATTATGGAAAAAGTATAAGCTTTGACACAACAACATGTATGGCATGTTCTCATGAAGTCTTTCAGGAAGCCAAGGACACAGAGCAAAAGTCATTTTCCCTTCCTTACTCTCACCATTCCACCACCACAGCTACCCAGATTTTTCTAGAAAGACCAGAATTTTCATTTTTTGAGAGGTTTTTCTTTAACAAGGATGTGACCTCAGTGACAAGGACAGTTTTAATTAGGCAGTGTGACCTCAGCCCCTTAGGATCTCAGTTCAGCACCTGGAGAGAACTTCCAGCATAGGCTGCAAAGCACAGGGGCCCTAACCAGTGGTTTTGCCGCTATTATAGTTTTCAACAGTCCAGAATGGAATCAGAAAAAGAAAAACAAGGTTACCCCTTTCCCCACAGCCAACCATTTTTAATGTTAGAGGCAGTCCTTTGCTCTGAGAGTCTTTTCCAATAGTCTTCAAATGTCCTTTCTTTTACAACATGAAGCTGATATGGATGAAAGTTAAGTTGGTTTGCTTTTTGTCCAAGTTATTTTATTTTGTTTTAATGGTTGGGACAGAAAAAAATCAAAAGATGGCCACTCTGTATGGGTCACTGAATTTTCATTTTGGGGTAAATTTCATTGATCCATGAAATCCAAAACTATGGGCTCCATGGACTAGACTATTTGTTAGATCTCTTCTTATCTTGGCTGCCACTGGGAATTACCAGAATACAAACTAATCCAAAACCAACGTCAGTTCACAATGTAATATTACTGCAACCAGATAAAACAATGCTAATGATAATCTATACTGGGGCTATGAAACTTTTGGTAAAGACCTTCCAGAATCTCCCTTGCAGAGATCTTAGCCTCCTTCCCATGAGTGAGCAACATGGGAATCAGTGATCCCATTTTGCAGATGAGTAGCTGATACCCATGCAATCAATGAGACTTGCCTAAGGTAATCCAAGGAGTTGCCTGCAGAACAGGGACCAGAATCCAAGGATCCTCTATTTCCCTGTTAGATGTGCTTCAGCCGTAAATGTCCATGACCTGTTGTGTGTGGTTCCTGGTCTTCTCCTGCTCTTAATGCAAGCCTACTCTTCCCTTCACTTGGCCCACTGTATACATGGTGAATAGTGAGGTGGAAAGCATGTAAGATCTAGTCTCCAGAATGGACCTTCACTTCAGCCAGCAGTTTCTCTGGGCCTCATCTGTAATGTAACAGCAATGTCCTCAATGAACTGGAAAGCCCTTCCAGCTTTGACACTTTACCATAATTCTGTTGTTTAATACATAAATATGTAAGAAAAAATCTAACAATAACCTTGAGGAAATCTGCAGCCATAGCTTCTGCCTCCAGCAAGCCTGTCTACACAGGCACAGGCAGCAAACTGTCCCTTTAGAAAAGCCATTGCAAGATATTCTGGGCAGAAAGGAACCATCTCCCAGAAACTCCTAGGAGGAAGCTCCAGAGGCAGGATGTGCTTTGTCACTGAAGCAGATGAGAGCATAAGCCAGACACTTTGGGGGAGCCCTGTGCCACTGGCTGATGGACATTGCCCCCCATCAGCAGGAAGCTGGCAGAAGTTCAGAGCCTGAGAAGCAGGGCCATGTATGAACACTAAAGTAACTCGGCACAGCCTGACCATTAACTGCAGGGAAACCATGGGAAACAAAGCCCTTTTTGTAGAGGAAAGATTTCTCAGTCCCAAGACAAACTTCCTCTTCCTGGCCAGGATGCTGGTCATCAGCAGCCATTCGCACTCACTCCATTGTGCTTAGGACTCAGTGGATCACTCCGGGGTGTATTGGGACTGTCAGCCAGGAGAACCTTCCAGTGCACCCTCCTCTTCTCTAGAAAACGGAGTTAATAATAACTCTTGCACAGAACTGCTATGAGAGTGAATGCAACAACAAATACAACCCTCCTCTGCCACTAAATAAAAGGGCTTCGTCCCACCCCAATACAATGAGGAACTCAGGAGAGCTGCAGGGAGAGTGAGGCATGTGCTGCTGCTCCTCACTTCTTGTTCCAATTTTCTGTTTCCACCACATTTTGTATCTTGCATGTGCTCGTGCGGCTCATTTGTCCAAACCACAGAATAAAGACACCTCTACCTTAATTTCCCCAGTGTTCCTATAGCAACACTTGTGTATAGCAACATTTGCAGCAGGATTTAGGGTATAAGAGAAGCTGGTGGGCAGTGCACTCCTTCACAGAGGACGATGCAAACTGTGAATTGCACCCTTCTGTTCTCCTAAGGCTTCTTCCACTCTAGCCACCGGGTGTTCATTGCCTGAGAGACAGCTTTCTGCCCAGGGTTCAGCCCTCTACCGTGCACGCTGATCCACTCTCCTTCCTGCCTCTTTTTACTTTCTTCTTCTCCCCATTTCCACGCTTCACGCTCATACACACGACTTCCCCTCTTAAACGCTGTGGAAATTCAAATTCTACTGACTCTGTTTTGCAGAAAGATTTTTGTCACCTTGGTCTCACTCCCAGGACTTCTCTACATCCTGACAATCAAATGGCAGTTTTTCCTTGCCCTTCAGGAACTCTGTAGACAAGTTTTAAATCAGTTTTCCTGCTATTCCCTCACTTCATATGAATGAGGATCTGAGGATCTGGCAGAGTGAAAATAATAAACACTGATGTGCCTAGCACAGGGCTAAGGACTTCGAGATTCACTCACACACTTCTCACAGTGAGCCCCAAGGATAATTATTATCTCTATCTTATAGGAACAGAAACTGGTGCACAGAGAGGTTTACTGACCTGCCTAAAACTGCACAGCTAGCAAGGAGTGGAGCAAGACTTCAAAATCCAGGCTGACCTGCCTGGAGCCCTTTTGCTTATCCAGGTGCTTAGTAAAATCCCACCATGCTTCCTTCCAGGGCCCCTGTCAGTTCTCCATGGCTGGGATCCTCCCAATACCTTCCTCACTTCCTCCGAACCTGCAGGCATCTGTCTGTTTTCCTGTCACTGAAGCTTACTCGTTACTGAGCTCTGCCGCAGACAGCGCCATCAGGGTGGCTGCACACATGCCTTTGCATGAGAGGTGGAGTGGTGGGGAGCATAAATGGCCCAAGATAGGGGGTCTAGAGGGCCAATTTAAGCCCTAGCTCTGTAGCTGAGGAGTCATGAAATCTGGGATGATTCCTTCCCTCCTGCTAGTTAGAAGGGGTTTGTTTTTTCTGTGAATGCCCTGTGCTCGCCATACCCAGAGGTTCCTAGAGGCCCTTAGGAAAGTGGGTCCTGACATAAGGGTCCTGACAACCCCATCCTTGCATTTCCCCACCCTCACCTGAATGCAATCTCCAGCTAAGGGCAAGGCACAAAAGGCAGAGAACTGGGTTGAAGTTTGGAATACCTACACTCCAATCCTGGGACTTGGAGAAATGCATTCTCCCTTAGCGGGACTGGCATTTCCTGTTTTCAAAAAGATTAGGAGTGATGGGGGCAAGCCAGATGGCCTGACCCTGGCCCAGACTTTGCTTGGGGTATAACATTCCAGGAATCAAGCAAATATCTTAATATTCTTAGACCTTTTTACCATTATAACAACTTACAAATTCTGCCTGC